TCAGTCCCATCTTCAACGTTACATGATGATGTGAGGCGGGCATACGCCCAAGATGGTGAGATTGTGAAGCTGTTGACACATCTCTCCCAACCATCTCGAGAATCGTTGAAACGATTGTCGTCTGCGTATCGATCTGCATCAGATCGATACACTACTCGCAACGGGTTACTGTATTATACAGCCGTTACTGGTGACACACCACGTGTTGTAATCCCAGATGATACTGATCTGCGTTTGCGGATCATGTTCGAGTATCACGATGCTCCTGTAGGAGGACATCGTGGCCGTGAGAAGACATTTCTCACGGTGAGTCGAGACTTTACTGGACCCGCCTGTATCAGTTTGTGCGCAAGTATGTTCGCGCATGCGAAGTCTGTCAACGAGTGAAGTCAAGTCTTTCACTGCGTGCACCTTTACAGCCTCTACCAGTCCCGGCTGAGTGCTGGGAATCCATCTCAATGGATTTCGTCTTCGGGTTACCCAAAGACGCCCGCGGGAATACGGGTATCCTCGTATTTGTTGACAGATTCAGCAAAATGGTACACCTTGTGGCTGTACCAGAGTCAATCACGGCAAGTGGATGTGCTTGTGTCTTTATCGACACCATCTTCCGACTTCATGGGTTGCCCCGTGAACTCGTATCAGACAGAGATCCACGCTCCACAGCTGATTTCTGGCGTTCCGTGTTCAAATCACTCGGAACGCGCTTGAAGATGTCGACATCTGATCATCCAGAGTCAGATGGTCAGACGGAACGCGCCAATCGTGTCCTTGAAGAGATACTTCGAGGATACGTACACTCCTTTAAGATTTGGAGTGAGTTCTTGCCAACGGTATGGTTTGCCATTAACAACTCAGTGCATGCGTCCACGACACATACACCGTTTTACGTGAACGGCTTACGCCATCCGCGTATACCCACCTTACTAGAGTGTAACACTGGTTTAAGGGGGGAGGGACTCGCGCGAGCAAAAACCGATTTGGTTCACGCTCATCACGCTCTGACGAAGAGGTCATTGCGTTTGATGCCGATATCGACAACATCGATGTCGATGAAGATGATGCCAGTGAGAGTGCGGAAGCCCTCACTGAAGAAAAGTTTGATGTCGCTGCAGTGCACTCACAGCGCACTGAAGCTAACGAGTCATCAGATGAGTTCACACTGGCTCGTGAAACGGTAGTCCGTTTTGTGCAAGATTCCATCGCCGAAGCGGTGGATAAGCAAAAGCAAAACGCTGACAAGAATGGAAGGGCAAACACTCTTTTATTTAATAAAGGTGACTTAGTCCTACTGTCTACGGTTAATCTACCAAAGCATGTAGTGACTAACTTGGGTAGCAGTAAACTACAAACTAAGTACATCGGCCCATTTCGTGTATTGCATCGCCTAGGCAACGCATACACGATCGAACTGCCACGTAATATGCGAACGCATCCCACGTTTTACGTTGGTCGGCTTAAGCCGTACCATCAGTACGCTGCTTCTTCCAATGAAGAACGCCCTTGCGCTCAAGCATCTCGCAGAGAGCCTTGTGCTCCTGATGGTGGGCATCTAAAAGGGTCTGAAGAGCAGTTATCTCAGCCCGAGATCGGTCAACATCCCCACGAGCTACCCTTAGCTCGTCGTTGCAGAGACGTCAGAGCTCTCTTGTTCTCAAGCTGAGCAAAGGCAAACTCAGCTCGATGCCTCAAGACAGCGTCCGCCAGTTGGAGACGCCTATTCCGCTCATGTTCTAGATCGCCGCGTAACCCTTGCGTTACGCGATCAAAGAACCTCTCGGGAACACACGCTTCCCCACGACTGTGCGGAGATCGTCTTTCCTCCTCCTCCACCTCCATGAGAGGACTCTCGCGGTGGCCAGCGCTATCTGATTGAGCGGCTGTTGAATTACCGCGATGTGAACGGACGTCGGACGAGTTATCTCGTCCGGTGGAGCGGTTACCCCCCGTCCTGGGATACTTGGGAGCCCCGCTCCCAACTGATGGTTGACGTACTGGGTCTGGTTGAGCAGTACGACGCGGCACATCCTGTGCCGCAGCAGGACCGCCGGAGAAAGTCTTCCCGGCGCGGTCGCAAAGGGATTTCAAGTTGTCAATCCCTTCGTACATCTCACTAGAGATACGTGCGCGCCACCACGGGCTATTAAGGAGATAAGCCTCCTTAGGTGCGCGCGCAGAGTTGTTCACACAACATGGGTACGAGTCTCCCCAGGAGAGACAGGGTAATCCTTTCTCCCTTGACAGACGATGCAGCTTGTAGCGTGCACCTGTCGGGGTTCGCTTTTCAAACTTATCGCGAGCTTTGAGAAGTTTGTCGTTCCAAGCGTCACGACCTACATCCTCAAGGTTATGGATGTAGGCGTTCCACGCTTGAAGTAGTGAGGGACTATCACGTTTGTGATTCCCACTGTACCATCGATGTCTAAAGAAAGCATCGATGAAGAATTCATTCTCAGCGCGATAGTTTTTTGCACTGGGGTCAAGGTGATAAATCCTTGACGAATCGAACAACCGTGTTCGATAACGATCACTCGTCGTCGCCGACAAGTGATCCCTGACTGACTTTGGAGGCAGCCATGCTTTCTTTTCGGTAGCGAGACGCAACACACTGCGGTCCCGCTCTTCTTGCGACGTGCCGACAGAAGTACTGGCACCTCGTTGCGAAGTGGTGTCCATAGGAGAACTGAAACCACTGTGAGCGCCCGAGTCTTGTGACTTTGAGCGCCTTCGCTTCGGCGATGGTTCATCTGATTCATCAGATGAACCAAAGATGCTACGACGCATAGCATCATCCATGCCACGCTTGGCAGGCGGATCGGTTTCAATCGCCTTCGTTACGGATCCGTCTTCCGTATCAGGAGAGTATGAGACACCGAGCTCATACTCTGTGAAGACATGAGTGCCTTCATGACGAGCGCCTGCATCACCAGGTGACACAGGCTGAGTCGCTTCAGCAACCGATGAGACATCAGTTGCTGTGGTTTCTGCTTCGGCGTCCGCACAGAGACGTGCGGACGCGCTCTCGGCGGCCTTGCTCGCGCATCGCATGGGCTCGTTAACCATGCGATGGAACTGATGGACTGTGGACTCGGACCAACAAGTGCAAACCCCGTCCCAAATGATTTGGGACGAGTATCCATTCAGTCAATCAGTCACTAAAGTGACTGATGCTTAAGGGGGGGGGTGATGTAACGGGGTGAATCGTTACATAACAATTTATGAGAAATTGTTAATAGAATATAACTATAAGAGTTATATTCTCAGAATATTGTCATAAGGACAAATAGTCTGTAGCACTTACGAGTAGTTCCTAATTGGTTGATATAGGCCATTATATCAACCAACGAAGACACGCCACGACAGACGCACGCAATGAGTGGTGGGCAGATAGTTTATATGCACATTTGTATTCAGACATAGTTAGATGAGGATAAACAGTGATTTATTGCAGACATTAACTATGATGAATACAGTTCTACTTTTAGCTTTAACCAAGTACTCGCTTCTTCTTACCGTCTTCCTCTGCACGTACGAGTGTACGTGAAGTTATGCGGTACAGCCTCATTCTGTCATCAGAATAAGTAGCTTGTACTGTCACCAGTACAGCCTCGGGGTGCCCCGTTACAGGTCCACCTTTCTAATACAACGGCCGCATCATTTTCACAAATTCAAACGAATTTTTTGCATCAGTGATGGTGATCGCTGCTTGCTTTGGTACGAAAGGATGGTATTACTCACTCACTAACTCACTCTCAACTTTCAACAAAAGAATATCACTTACAGTGTTGCTGGGGTCCAGCGACAATGACCTCGACCACACGTATTTTTGTGCAAAAAGGTTCAATTGAATTTGTTTACGACAAACAAACTTCTGATATCCAACGAATGTGATATTGTTCCCTCTCTTCTCGACCCATTATTAGCCAATCATGTAGCGTTGCATCAAACTGAGAAGACATTGACGGTTCTTTATTAATCTGGTAAACAACTCAGCAACAGAAATTGGGTGGACGCGGATGGACGCGTTGAATCTAAGTTAGGGAATGGATGGGCGTGTGGGTGGGTGCGGGAAGCGCCGACCGATTTGGAACTCTAGTGTCCATGGATGGGGATGCATTCCATTCCGTAGTATAGCTTTCTCAATTGCGGAGCATTCCGCATTAGAGTGAAGACTGTCCCGATCATCTGATTTACGTGGCAGTGGTGGCATCACAGACACAAACAAATAGCCGAGTCTCATCAACTCGTTCTCGCCTGATCAAACTAGTGCAGGAACAAAGGCACAGTTGCAGCAGGTTTGCGTGCTGGACACCAAAGGATGGTGGCTGCTGATAACACGCATGTTGTCGTGTCTTGGTAGAGTGATCCTTACTAGCGACAGCAGCAGTGTCGAGGCACCGACCACAGTAATAGCGGAACAGGTTTTAGCGCCGCGCTGTTAAGGCCAGGAATCTCCATCCATGACAGTTGCCAGCTCTACTACGACCGACACAGCCGAAGATTGTTGTAGGCTGAACAAGAGTAGACGAGGTAGTTCAGAGCAGCTAGAGCACCACGGGCGCAGTATCCAGACTAACTCTTTGCACCAGCGCGACGTGGAATCGTCAAGCGCTAAAGGCGATGCGATCCAAAAGAGCAGCTTCATAAACTATGCACTGGAAGTGCTTCAAATGTGTTTCGATAGCAGCGTCGTTCGGCACCGGTGCCATCTCGAAGCCATTTGGTCGTTCGAGATGCGAAGAAGAACAGGGAAGTCGTTATTTTGCTCGATCGCATATTTCTACCTCGATGTGGAACGAAAAGGCTGCGTAACGTTACAACCGCACCACCTCCTCGATGTCCGTGTTTGTTCTATGCTCGAAAGCAGAACCAGAAGACGAGCAACATCTCCACCGAACGTTCTGGAATCGACTTTGCTCCCTTGGAGTTTCTCCAGCATTCGCGGTATCGCTCTCTACCCATTTGCTCAGACCTAATTTTTCTCGAGACCGTCTCTAGCTATGACAATCACCGTGGACGAAGTCACTGAACTGCAGGCGCTGCTGGCACAAACCAAGACTGCCGGCAATCGCCGCGATCTGGAGCAGCTGCTGCACCGCAAGCAGAAGGCTCTAGAGGTCATTGAGACGATCAGTCCGCCGCCCCAGACAGTCGCAGCTCCAGTCCCGACCGTAGTTAGTGACGTCGCGACATTCTTGGAGATCGGTCGCTTCGGCTGGGAGGACGAGGGCTATGGCAAGGACAAGGTGGCGGTCTACATCATGTCGGGTGTCGATGGGGTGGGCAACTTGCCCAAGGAGAACGTCACGTGCGACTTTACCAAGTCGTCATTTGACTTGAAGGTAGAGAGAAGAAGGAGCACATGGTTGGCTGTGGTGGACTTGGGAAATGATGACTCATGATGACGTAAACGTGTTGTTGTTGGGCACAGATTATTGGACTCCATGGCAAGAACTATCGGTGGGTCCTGCTACATCGCGCGTCTTTATAATTTGAGACGGAGAGACGGGATGATGGACTGACGAGGTGCCTTTGTTTTCTCATACAGATTGGTCAAGCAGCACTTGGACAAGGAGATTGACCCGACGAAAAGCTCGTACCGTGTCAAGAAGAACCGCGTGTCGATTTCTTTGCACAAAGTGGACAAGAACGCGACGTGGATGAACCTCACGGCGAAGAATCCGCTCAAGTCCAGCAAGCCCGACACAAGTGACCCGAGTGCGAGTATCATGGACATGATGAAGGTGCGTTTGAGGACTTTGGATACATTTTTTCGAGCTAGAATGGAGGGCTCACGGTTGAGGTGCATGGAATGGACAGAACATGTACGACGAAGGTGACGCCGAGATGAAGAGCACGATTTCCAAGGCGTGGTACGAGAGCCGCAACAAGACGGGCGCTGCTACTCCTTTTTGAACTGGAGGGACTAGCTGCTGCTTATAGTGCACCTCCCCATACTGATGATGAAAGGTGCAGACTGAAGTCGTAGGTCTGGTTATGAACAACCAACCCATGATGACATGCCCACATCGTTCGTTGTTTCGTCGCTTGTGTCACTGCAGTAGGACTTGGGTGTCTCCTCTTTTGTCTAGCCTCGCTACTGCCTCTCACTGTCTATGGATGATGCCGAGTCCTATCATTGAAGTATCGTAGAATGCGAGCTTCTGCACGTCATCCCTCGGAAAAACTTGCCAGCATCTCAAGAGCGACGTCTGCTGGGTACAGAGCAACCACCAGCGCCTGACCATTCATTCATTCCTGCAGAGTTTGGGGCCTTCAGAAGTAGCCACTTTGCTTCGGTTCCATTCGGCTTTGAGTGAACAATCACTGGACGTCTGTACATTGCTCCGTATTGAACTTGGCATTGGCAATGGAGGACTTATACGGAGACTTGGACACGTCTACGAGTGCGTTAGAAAAGAGGGAAGCACTGGAGCTCAAGACGCAAGTTGAGAAGGAAAACGCACGACTGCAACACGAATTGGCGCAGTTGCAGGAGCAGAATCGTCGATTGGGCGCTGCTTATAAACAGCTGGAGACCAACATCTCCACGCTCTTCGTCACGGCGCAATTGGAGCTCGGGCGCAAGGACAAAGAGATCCAGCGGCTGCGAAGTCGATTGGAAGAATGACAACTGACTGACGGACTGACTGGCTGACGACAAAGAGGGAGCAGGAAAGAAGACTCCAAGCGGTACTTGACCATTTTCAGTTTTTCATTTCGTGTTGGTCGTTGCATAAATAAAAAATAGCCAGACGTGTGTATGCGTTCGTCACCGTTCGGAGCTCGTCAATGTCTGTCTGTCTGTCTATCGCATCATTTGTTGGCTACGCGCTCAGTCCCGTCTCACTTGGCCTCGCTTTGCAGTGTCCCCGCGGTCTCGGAATCGTCGTCGGTTCATAGTCCGGACAGAATGCACGCAATCGCTTGTCGACCTGCTGGGAAGTGCACGATTCGTACAGCTCCTACCAGTGACAACAGGTGGAGGGAGACCGGGAGCTCGCTTGACATGTACTCGAATATGCAACTTTCTTCAATACTGCGTCGACGTTAAGGGCTTTACCAGCGTCGAACGCACGGCAGCTCTGCTCGGTGTCGCAGCTGCTTTCACCCATACCATCGCGGCTCTACGCATCCTGTGGCGACGAATGACTTGGGCCGACAACAACCTCTTCCGAATCTGGCACAGCAACACCCGAGAGTTTGACTCCACCACCGCTTTTCAGCTGCTGCAATAGTGTGTCAAGGCAGCTGACGTCGTACTCGTCCAACAGCGATGTCTCAAAGTCCTCGAGTTTCTTCATCACCGCCTGCTAATGCGGCGCCAAGCACAAAGTCGTTAGTGATCCACTCATGAGAAGGCAAGTGATAAAGCACCCAAAAAACAAATAGACACACTCAACTACCTGCTCGCCTTCCGTGAAGTTGTAGTGGTCCGAGTCGGGCAATAGAGGGAGGTCTTCGTCCAAAAACGCCAATTGATTGTTCGCGTCTGTGATGGATGTGCTATCGGAAGCAACAGCACCCCCACCAGATAAGTCACTTGCGTGACCAACTGCAAGTGTGCTTCCGTTCAAGCTCGACTCAATCGGTGTCGTAACTGCCACAGCAGGTACTGATGTGGCGGGTGTCGACACAGCCGATGCAGGTGCGCTTGTAGAAATGTCTGCTGCATTTTTAGGGTTTCCACCACCCAGCGCGGCATCAACGTGAGCTGTGCTGCTACTCAGAGCGTTAAGAGGTGAGAAGATACTCAGTACGTTGTTCTGTTCTTCATCTGAGTGAAGGGAGGGAGGCGTGCTGGATGGGAACGTCATCGCGAACAAGCTGGGATCGCCCAAAGGGTTCGGCATCTTGACAACAGTAGACAGCTCTTTCTCTAACAAACCACATACAATTTTTAGCTACCATACTTGCGATGATTGCCATACCAAAAGACAAATGAACGGACCCAATTTGTATGCGCCATCGGGTGTCGAAAGGACATCGCCGACGTCAGATGGAACCTCGACAAACTTCCGCTTTCGTAAGCTTGGCGTAGAAGTCGCAGCATCAGGAGACGATTCAGGCAACATAGGAGGTTCATCCATCGCCAAAAAGCGCAGTACGTCTCGAAACTCTTTCGGCCCAAGCATGCTGCCGTTAGTGTAGCTACCAACAGTGAAACAAAAACAATCACAGCCGTTGCCAAACAAGCGCGAACGAACCGGCACACATAGTAGTCAATATGGCAAGTTACACACCGATTACACAGATCTGCGCGGTACTACGACCGCGTGCTTACGAAACTCACTCTTCGCTGATAAAAGCGCCAGTGGCGTCGTTGCTAGACAGTTGGGGAAGATTCTGCTGCTTCCCACGGTAGATCTGGAACAGGATCCACATAATCTTCTTCATTTTTTCTTGCATGACCAACTGCTTGTCCTTTGCTGCCTCAAGATGCTTCCACAACTTAACGTTATCACTTCGCACAATCTAAAAGTTCCATAGCAGCAAGTCAGCATGAGCATCAGTCGTGTCGTAGAGTCGTAGCTACGAAATAGACTGCGTGAAGCCAAGCCAGCGCATCTGTACCGCATTGTCGATCTCAACCTCGCGCAGACGTTTCTCCATGGCATCGCCACGTTGACGCAGCTCTTTCATCTCTCGCAACAGTGTATCTGAGATCTCCCGGTGCGCATCAAGCCGCGAGTTCTGCTCACAGTCATATAAAGTGTAAGCCTATCGTCATCACGAAGTACCCAGTCAAGCAGTCAGTCAAATAGACCATCTCTATCTCCCTCCTCACCTGGATGGACGTGCTGACAATGTGCTGGTTGTGATGACTACTACTGCTGCTGCTGCTACTGGAGACCTTGCGCTTGATCAGATGCAGCAAGTCCGGTCGACCGCGCTTGAAGTACGGGTGCTGGAACTCCAGCCGCTTCGAGTCCAGCACCGTCTTATGGAATCCGTAGAGGTTGAGCTGGCGCACAAACGACGGGAAGTTCCGGTGCTTGAAAAACCGCGGCAGTACCATCGCCACAAACGTCTCGAGCTGCGCCACGATGATGGTGTCTCCCGTGGCGTTCCAGCCACAGACGTGTGCGAACTCGGGCATGCTGAAGATCTCGTACGTCTTGGACAAGAAGGCGGGCAGCATCACGTGCTTCCCTTCGCTATGTGCGATTGCCGCCGCCTTGCTCTTAACAGGTGCGTCCAGCGGCGCAGACACTGGCGCCATCTTGTCGACGTCAGAAGGTCCAGCGGGTGTCAACTTACCGGCGTCTTGATTACCGACTCGGACGCGCTTCGCCATGACCTTTGGCCCTGAAGAACGACGAGCGAGTCCCGTGTTCTCTTCCCTGACGAGTGGCTGAGTGACCGACCGACCAATCCGCCTTTGCGTGCTCGCAAATGGGTGTCGCGTACCGTCGGGCGAGCCAGTTCGTTGTGATTGGCTGCGAATATACACCAATCGGGTCGTCCGAGACACGTCCGAGTCGGACGCCGCGTGGTTGTTTCTGGGTTTATTGCGTCTCGGTCGTCACAGAGAGAGCGAGAGAGAGAGAGAGAAAATAGAACGTTTAGGTCGCAATTCGGGTCGCAGTCGCACAGAACAGACGGATTTCCGGGAGGAATAGTAATGTGAAGGACGCGATGGCAATAATGTTTGCGGTATTTAAGTGACTTGGGTCGACTTGGGGGGCAAGACAATCGTCGTTTGTCGCACTTGTTTCACGTAGCCGACCTTGTTCGGGGCAGGTTGAGCCAGCTGGTTTGACCTCCCCCTCAAAACCGGTTTAAAGAAGCGACAAGTGGGGGTTCAGACTGAATGCGAGGCACAGACTGCAAGAGGTTATGGTGTTATCCACCTGTTGCACGTCCTCCTTGGTACGTGCATATCAGCGCGTTTCTACTGATACGGGAAAAATACAATACTACCAGCCATGAGAGGTGACGACTGCTGCCTAGAGGCTGACAAAGCGTTTTTTCATTTCGTTTTCGTTCTCTCTCAGTGTTCAATATCTAGGAGAAACACACCGAAACGCATGCGGTTTTCTGTTGATCATCGATGTTGCTTCGTGATGCTGTTGGACATCTCACGTCGATAGGGTGTATGAAATGTACTGAGATTTCAGGCACCCGACGTTGGAGGAGTGTAGACCGTTCGGACCGGTTCTGCGCCGTAAATCACGTCATATCCGTTTTTCACGATTGCACGACATGCAAAGGAGCTCAGCATGACGAGGGCCCAATTGCAGCTGGGGCAACGCTTCGAGCCATTTGAACGAGAAGGACACACTTGCGGCTCGAGCGCGATTGCGATTCCTTTGGAGTGAGAGCTATTGGTGAGCATACCGCGTCGGCATTGCCGCAACGTCAAAATGCTCGCAGATGAGAGAGGTAGTGGATGAAACAACCCTTTTTGATAAAGAAAAACCGCGATGGTTGGTCCGACATGTTCGAGTCTTTGTTCGCACGGTGACCCCCGTCAAGACTTGTGTTTGTCCAGTGACGAGCACAATGGCCACTAGGGGGCGTTTGTGCAGCGGCGAAGAGTGCAATCTTACAACAAGCATGTCGAACACTAGCTGGTGTCTCTGGTCGTGTGATCGGTACGCAGTGTCATGGTTGCTAAATGGTGTGGAACCAGACGCAGACGTACGGTGTTGACCGCATTATTTTCCGGAAGACCCGGGCATGACCCTACGACATTCGAGCAAAAGAATCTTTTCCAGCGACATAAACAGCAAGTGCATGCAGTGACCACTCGTATGACCTGCACAAGCTGACGTGTCTGAAAAGAGCTGGCATATCGATGCTGTCGACCATGTGATTACACGCCTTGTCGGCTGTCGCAGAACCCAAACCCTTCGGGCTGGTCTCCACACCAGATACCAACTGTACCCATCTCAAACATGACCACAACTTGCCATATCCAGCATCTAATCTACGTCCGACCGCCGAATTTCGGCAGCATCTTCGGTCCTTTCGAAACGTGCTTGGAAAAGCGTCCTCCGAGGCGACTAGTCTTCCCCGACGACTCGGACGAGTCCGTACTTGCCGACGAGCTCTGCAATAATAAAGCATACACAGCCATGTCAAGAAGAAGATCACACAACCAACTACACGTCCCAACAACTTCACACTTGCCCGACCTGCCGCGCTCTTTTGAAGGACTCTCTGGCCAAGTTGCTGTGCCGGGCGTGCGCTTCTCGCGCAGCCACATGCCCGTGGTCGCCGCTCTTTTTCCGCTTGACACTGCGCTGCTCCTTCTCTTGCTGCTGGAGGTGCCGCTTGTGCTCTTCTTGGCTCTCGGCCAGCGTCGTCTGCCACAGCGAATGCCACACGCTCTTGACTTGCGCTGGGTCCATCGAGTCGTCGTGGAAAAGCGCGAGGATTTCGCGAAAGTCTTTGCGCTTCTTGGGCTTCTGTGCGTGACCAGCGCTTTGAGAGGTTGGTCGCTTGTTCGGCTTCGAATCGTCTTCCAGTCGCGCTTGTGGGGGCGGAGGGAAAGGGGGCGGCGGTGGCAGTGGCACGTCCAAGTTGTCGTCGACTGACGACGGCATGAGAGGTGTGAAAATTGGGTATATCCGAACTGCCACGTTCCCAAATCACAAAAAATTGCGTCCAATTACAAAAGGGCAAGACGCTAAAGCGGGTAATAATTACAGCGCCAGGACTATTTGGATGATGATGATAGGTCGGTCAGCAAGCCTTTTCTGCTCGTCACCCACAAACCTTTGACGCATACCGTGTCCGATCTCTCTCCTCCAGCATGCATTATTCCAAACCAGGGGATGTCGATACAGTCGCCGCGGATCCCAAATACAGCACGCTATCTCCCTCTCTCTCTATTTGACAACTGGTTCGTGCCGATCAAGATCCAGTGTAGCCATGTCGCTCTACCGCGGTTCATCGCTCGCGCGCTTGCGCCCACGACTCGTGACGCGCCGTCTGTCCACACATGGCCATCCGTTCGTGTTCGAGTCCCGCCACGAGTACATGGAGTACCTGCAGACGCACCAGAGCCGCCTGCCGTGGGGCTTCTCTGTAGCTACTACAGATTTCGACTTTGTCCCGCAAGAAGCGCCCCACCTGCCGGCCAAGATGACCCTAACGCTCCTCAAACCCGTCAAGCCCACGTCCCTATTCGCTGCAGTGTTCACCCAGAACGCGTTCCCTGGAGCGCCCGTGCTCGTCGGTCGCAAGCGCCTGCAGGAGCCAAAACTCGGCGCGATTCTGATCAATAACAAGATCTCGAACGTCTGCGCCAGTGGCGGCGGCGTAGCAGACGCTGAGGAGGTCTGTGAGAGCCTGGCCAAGCACTTGAGACTCGATGCCGGTACCCAAGTGCTGCCCTGTTCGACGGGCGTCATTGGCTGGCGCATCCCGGTGGATGCTATGGTAGCAAACCTCCCCAAGCTCGTCAAGAAGCTGCAGTCGGACTCGGTGCTGCCTGCTGCCGAGGGGATCATGACCACGGGTACGTGCATTGATAAGAGGGGGTTTGTGATGGTGGCGGTGCTGCTGCTGCTCCTGCTGCTACCTTTTTGGCTGACGAGAGGCTGCAATGCTTGTTGTTGTCTGGCTAGATCTGTACCCGAAGGTTCGCTCTATGGATGTGTGCGGTGGCCGGATCGTTGGCATTGCCAAAGGAGCTGGCATGATTGAACCTAATATGGCTACGATGCTGTCGTATATTCTCACTGGTAAGTAAAGGGTTTGCTGTGGCACAGGGTGGTGTGTTTCAAGTACCTGATGTTTCTTCATTTGTTGCGACAGATTTGTCGATTCCTCGTGACGTGCTGCGTCAGTTGCTGAAGGAAGTCGTCGGAGATACGTACAACTCGCTTAGTATAGATACGGACCAGAGCACGTCGGATACGGTGGCGCTCGTATCGTCAGACATGATCCCCTTCGATATGAAGCATCTGGAAGAGGTCAAGAAGGCACTGTACGAGGTGTGCCTCGGACTCAGTGAAGACGTCGTGCGAAACGGTGAGGGTGCACATCACGTTATCCGGGTGAGCGTGGGTGGCGCCTTGACGAAAGAGATGGCCAAGGGCGTCGGCAAGTCCGTGGTGAACTCGCCCCTGCTCAAGTGTGCAGTAGCTGGCAACGATCCAAACGTGGGTCGCCTTGTCATGGCTGTGGGTAAGTACATGGGTCTACATTACAAGGATGTGAACATTCAGCGCCGGATGAAGGTCCGCATGGGTGGCGTCCTCATTTTCGAGAACGGAGAGATGGTGCTGAACGACGATATCGAGGCTAAACTTGTGGCCCACATGCGTGACGCTATGCTGATCGAGCCTACGCGTGGCGGACTCGACGCTAGTTCACACAACTACCCGCCGCACGGGAAGTTCGTTGAGGTGGGTACTTGCTGTTGTTGGGATTGGTGTTGGAATGGTGGTGGCAGTTATTGACGTTGTTTTACATGTGTGAAAATGGAAGGTTGACATCGACTTGGGCGTCGGGTCTGCGTCGAGTGAGGTATTGGGTATTGACCTCACGCACGAGTACGTGGCCATCAACGCGGATTACCGCTCGTAGGAAAAAGAGCATGGGCTGGTGTTCCGAGCAGCTCATTCTTCGCCAGTAAACATGGAGCTGTTTGCACATTTGCTGCGAAGCAGGTTAGGAGACTACGACGGGGTGTCACTCGGACGTGTCCCCGGGTATTGTCTCACTGGACAGATTGTGCGTGCGCATACACGTAGTACACGTCGTGATGCGGTTCACTTGTCCTTTTCCTGCATCATCACGTATGCACAAGTCTAGTTTGCCCGGTTGTGGTCTGCGAACGCTTGGTGCAGTCAAAGTTTAAAAGGTACTCGATTGAAACTGATCATTGGCGACTTTATACCTCGAACTTGACCAACGTGTGCTCAAAGAAATGTACAAAGCGATGGCACATCTACTGAGTGACTTTGCAGCGACTCCATTCTCTACTTGACCACTTTGTAACCTGCTGGTACTCATTTTGCAAAAACGGTCCTATTTCCAGATCACACCAAGTCTCAACATTTGCTTCTAAAATCGAGAAGTTCACCAGACTCAAAACCAATAGTAAGTAATCAATCGTTCCAAGGACGATGGACAAAGTCGACCTCGAAGCTCCGCCATTCAACGCCGACGTCAAGAAAAAGCCCGCGGTCGTCTTCCTAAGGCTGAAACGAAAGCGCACCGATGAACGGATGGACCACCTCGTGGTGTACAGCGAACCGGACTCGAAACGGATCAAAAATGGGTCCTCGGACCTCTTACAGGCGTTCACGGAGCTCTCGACAACCGAGAAGCGCTTTGTCTTCAAGCACATTGACACAATGGACGATCCAGGAGCTTCCAAACGTGGAAAATGGACAGAGCGACTCAAGCGCAAGGCCCGATCGCTTCAAGACAAACGTGCTGTTCTGATGGCCAAGAAACCTGTCGCTGCTGTTTCTCAACCTGATGTGGCAGGTTGGAAGCCGACGTTGCAACGCGTGAAGCAGCAGCAGAGTCGATCCAAAGCTCTTCGGAGTGAAGAAATGCTCAGAGCGAGAGGGTTGCAACCAGTGGTGAAGCTGACGGAGAAACAGACGAGAGAAGTGCACGGGATTCGACTGGTCGATCTGCAGGTATCACCCTCTTCAGGTGTGGAAGAGAGTGAAAGGACGCAAAATCAAGTGGATGAAGACAATGCTGAAGTCGTTACAGTGAACGGTGCGCGGCTGAAATCCATGCGGGTGCTGAACCCGTACGAACGCGAGCTGGATGAGGCCATTTGGATGGCGTTCCGCTCGAACGACTTTGCCCCGTTCTTCCAGATTTACCATGCACAACGACCCGAACTTGGGGCATCCCCGACGTCGTTCCAAAGGTCAGCTGACGGAAGCACTGCATTGATGGCGGCGGCACTGCATGGACGCAGCGATGTCATTGAAGTGCTCCTGCGCTCTGATGCTGCCAGTGTGCTGCAAGAAGACTGGACAGGTGCTACTGCAGCGATGTTTGCGAACCGTGGCGGTCATTGCAACGTGGAGACTGCACTGCTTGCGTGTGAAAAGGTTGAGCGCGAAAAGGACTACGTGTATGACGTATACTGCATTGACACCTCTGCAAGTGAAGGACAAGACATCGCGTGTGGCGCAACTGCCCGATCTGAAAACGGCTCCGAACAAACCAGCGTGCATGGCGTACCGATTGTCAGTGTCAGTTCGCAGGTGCAACAGTGGCTCATAGAGGATGTACCGAGTGACGAGATCGTAGAGGAGTACATGCTGGAATCCGACATTGACAGCAACGAAGAAGACGACGGGTACGCGTGTTTGTAAAATTATAGATGTGATCGCTGCAGTGTGCAGGGCGAGCGCACGTACCCAGATCGGATGCCGATATTGATTGCTGATGCACGAGTTGTCTAACATCAGCTGTTGTCGCTGACTTGCATCGTGTGTAGCTTGAGCGATGATTCGAACGACGAGGACAATGCAGCAAACGACTATCCAGACGAAGAGTCATCGGACGATTCTTTGGCCGACAGTGAAGACCTAGACGAGGTACGTTTTTGCAAGAGCTGGGTGGCGTGTTTCGTGGTGCCTTCAATTTAACGAGACAGCGCATGTTTTGTCTTTTGCTTTCATAGATTGGAGCGAGACGCTACCAGCAACACTCTAAAGACGAGTATACTGAGCAAGACGGATTCGACTACTAGATTGCACGGACGTGATGTTCACACCCAGTCGACTCAAGCTGAGGCGCTGTAAGCAATCACGCATATCGCGCTATGTAGAGGAGGGTCACAGTGACAGCGTCAGATGATCATTCCTGCTAGATTCCAAGTCGTCAGCAACGCGGCAATCGCTTGGTTTCGTCTTCGCCAAGCTAGCCGGATGATGCAACGGACGTAAAATCGACATCAGCATTGCTATCATTGTGGCCAGTGCTATTGATATGCGCGTCTTGGGAGGAATGAAACTGTTGGACTGGTGCTGAAGGCTGAAGCCTACCGTACGTGTTGTCTTCAAATTACTCTGGTCCGCAGTGCAAGTGCATCAAAGACCCGGAGCGGTACCAATTGTCGTCTAGTGAGACGATATGATCTGCAGTATGACATCAGTGGCGCAGCTAAGGGTACATGGGATATGAAATGGTGGTGTTCCGGAGTTTTGTACATATGAGACTTTAAAAAATGGTAGTTGATGAGTATGGCATCGCATCGGTGCTTGCAACTCGGGATAGACATCATTGAACCTGAATGCATTATTGACAGTATGAGTGATGCACGGAAGGGTGGGGGATGAGTTCGAAGCACCTGATCTCATGAGCTGGCATGATAAGAAGAAGTGTTGGACAACGGACAAAACCACCTAACAGACGGTGCAATGGTTGTTCATTCGCGCGGGTAGCTAATCGACAACCGTCGAGTTAGTGCGTACGTATTACAAGAAATGGATGATGCGTCCTGCACATATCCCGATAGCGGTAATGATGCCGAAGAAGTATGATGGAGTAAGGATGCACAGGATTCAGCCATTCTGACGAAGCAGCATCTTGCTGCTGATAAAGTTGGACGATGTGGAATACCATCGCGATCCATTACGAGTGTTATACGACGGACATGAACTTACCCTGCAGGTAGTCAGTCAATCGACAAACTAGGATGGTCCAGTGTTGGACGTGAGAAAGTTAAGCTGTAGGGCACCGAGCAATACTGCTTCCAAATCTGAGGATAGTCAAGTTGTTTCAATTTTTCAGGCCACTTACCCTGGCAAGCAACCGTGCCTTTTTCAGTTTGGGACTGTCGCGCCTATACTGGCCCAGATGCGGCCGGCAAAGTAGTCTCTTGACTTCAGCAACCACGTGATCCAGTCGCCGACAACAACACCACCCCACACCGGCAATTGCGATACACCTCCTGATGGGCCCAACGGCAAGATCGTCGCGGCTACCGCTGGCACCTCGAAAGGATTTGGAAATCCTTGCTGCTTCTTGTGGATCACTGCAGCCAGCTCACCAGCCAGAAACTTACCCTGTTCTCCAGCGATATAAGCCATCTTTGGTGCAGGGTGACTACACATATCGCCTAGTGCAAAAAGATGGGCATATCCCTCACCTTCCACCTGCAAGTGACTGTTCACCTTGACAGCTCCACGCTGCGTGATCAGAGACGCATCCAGCTCCTGGACCAGACTGACAACGGGAGTAAACCCACCGCAAAGAAGCTGGATATCCGCTTCAATATTTGTGCCTTTATCAGTACGCACCACGCGTTTTTCAAAGACGTTGCCACAGAGTCGTTCTGTCAAGCGCTCTCCTCGAATCACCTTCACACCAAGTTTACTCAACGAGCTGTTGAGCTTGAGATGGAACTTTGCATTGAGGTTGTTGCCCGAGACGAGTCTCTCGTTCGCTTCAACGATCGTGACGGACTTGTCTGGCCACTTGGACTTGATTTCACCTGCCACTTCACAGCCCACGGCACCTCCCCCAACAACCACAATCTGTTCAGCTCTCTCGATGTGACCACGGACTTCTAGCAGCTTGGCTTCGACGACCGAGCGAGCGAAGTCCTGGATCTCAGGTCTCATCGGCACGGAATAGGTGCTCCCCGTTGCCAGCACGAGGTAGTCGAACTCTAGTTTCGCCGTGACAGTTCCCTCCCTATCATCGCTGTCAATAGCGTGGTACAACACCTCGTTCGGGTGAACCGACAGGCCTCTAGCCACTCCACGGATGATCCGCACGAACTTAACGGCGTGACTAGGAATAGCATTTTTGTATGGAATGAACATTTTGCTCGCGTACTTGGCGTCCACGAAAGCTCGCGGGGCGCCCACGACATGGTAGAAGTAGGAGCTTTTCTCCAGGAGAACGACATCTGTTTCATCGGAAGGTTCGAGCTTCTTGGCGAGCGTCTGCGCCGTGTTGATACCAGCTGCGCCTCCTCCTATGATGACGATACGAGTGGGCATTACCACTTGGGTCCCTTTGATTGCTTGGTAAGCACGATTCGGATGATGTTGTGATGGGGAGGGAGACATTCGAGTACCGCTCGAAATGCATCATATCGATCTGCTAGCCAGATGAGGGAATCGTCTTTGGAATGGTGTCAAAGCAAGTTGGAATGTGACAAACAAGACTCGATAGCTGAACACACGTCATTACGGCGGAATGAGAAACCACGTTTGGGGCTGGTTTACGTCAGACGTTTGTCATAACCACAGCTGTCGGGCCCATTTGGGAGCATCTATTTGAGTTGTGATGGGTCCGAAATGGGACGGAATTCTGTATAAGTTTACAGGACTGACGCATCATCTTACCGTTAAATCCTCCAGCAGCAACTGCCCGGACCAACTCAAACGAACCTCACGACAGACGGGCCGGGTCGACAACGCGTCACTGCTGGCGTGCCGCTTGTCTCAAGATGACAAACTGCGAATTCTGTTCGAATAACGTTCGCAGAACGTTGAGGGGCAACAAGTACGTGCGACTTTGCTCCGTAGGTACGTACGTGCATGACACCGACCGACCAATCCCTCGTTTGGACGACTAAAGGGCGATCCGCTGTTATTGGTCCAGTGGCTTACCGAAAGTGCCGTCATGAGCAATGCAGCCGAGTACACAGGTGTCGTTTAGACACGCACTGCGCATAAGCTGAGCACAGTCATCGCGACTCGCTGGCTATGTCGCGGCTGATACAAATTGTAGGTCCTGTCCGAATTGATTACCATTGGAGCTGCTGCGGCCGATCAGCGTCGTGCGTCCTAGCTTTTCCAAGCCAAAGACTCGCTGTCCGGGATATACAGACGTGTGTCTTCGATGGCCTTGCTTGAATATTGGGTGCGATTGTTGCCGTATGTACGGCACAGCAAGTTTCGATGGTCGTAGAGTCCAAGTGTGATTGTTATCTAAACCATAAGAGCCAACACCGGGACATTGACCAAAGGAGAATGATCAGTCACCAACGAATCAGGCAGGCGTGTCTGGCGAGATAACATGGTCCTTTATCAGGCAGCAACGTTGTGCAAACGAGACGCATCGGGCTAAATGCTTGTCGAAGACCAGCGAGAGACGTTTCGCATCGACTCCAATAACTCCGTTTCACACTTTCGCCATACCAAATTCAGTTTAGTCTCCTCGTTTACAGAAGAGAAGACCTTGCCGAGTGGCAGTTCTCCATTCCTCGGGGTATGCAGACGCACCTGTAGACTCAAACGGTCGAAACCATCAGCACCTATCGGCTGCTTGCTACTCAATGATCTAGACCGTCATTTACATCAACGCGATGCCACTTATATGATACCATTTGTGCTGCACCACGCATATCAGGATGCCTTCCGAATGTCCATACGTATAGCTTCGAAGTTGTCTTGACATGTAGCGGAAAATCCCAAACAACATGTTCGTCCACTCTATTCCGAGTCCACTTGGTTACGTTTGTCAACATCCTTGTAAATGAGGCACGATCCCATTGCATTTCTGATGTTGGTGGCGATTCCACGCACTTCCCACGACGAACATCATCTGCCTCCAATACGATCGTGCACCCAAACTATACACTTCCGTATCGTGCCGCTTCTTAGTGTCACGTAGTCTGAAATGTAACAGTAATTGTCGCTCTGAACGAGGCGAATGAGGACGAAACCTGACTCGAGTAGTGAGATACGAAGCGATCGCATCACTGACAGCCACAACACCATGGAACAATCTCTTTCACAATGCACTCTCAAGACATCCAACTGGCCGCGTCCGCCATCCCGATTACGTGTGGTTAATCTTGATAATAACCGGAGGCCTTCAAAGAATATGCCATAGAGTGCATCACGATTATCGAGACAGCGTTGTCGAGGGGAAGCTGAAAGCGGGCGCTTCGTGCTGTTCAGAAAGTGCCGCTACTTTGTGTCAGTCAAGCAGACTGTTGCATCTTCCTTCACAGTTTAGTAAAAAATGCGCCTCTCCCGATAGCTGGACTCAGCCCGTCTCCTGCGGTACTCCACCTAGAGAATAGACTTGTTCATTGACGTGATGTTCTCTGTGGTGTCACAAAGATTCTCATGACGCCACACCGCCGTCGTCGACGTTACCAGCGTTAGTGATGCCCACTGGCCTTCAACGTCTCGCTTGGCAAACAAATCAGAGCCCTCATGAGCGGATCCTTCGAGCAGCCGGCTCTAGCGTCCGACGTTTGCTGGATTCCTGAACTCTCACCTGCAACTTTGAATCTGCTTTGATCGAAGCAACGATCAACCGAGTAGAGTCCCCACGCTACCGCCTCATTCTATCTCCATTATTCTTGGCCAGGCAAGCTCAGACTGGGCAAAGCGCTATCGATCGCAAGTGCCTTGACGTCCAGAATCCAGAAAACTTGAGGAGCGCTTGGCTCTGTCGTGACTATATCTGACAAACAAAGTGTTACATCCTTGCAGGACACTGCACACCTCATTGACAGGGCAGCAACCGAAGCGATTGCTCAGTGCGCTTTGCCCGCAGAAATCAACTAAACGTCACAATGGGTCGCTCCGACGTCCGCGGCAGGACGACGAGCAGCAAGGATTAGCTGGGCAGACAGTCTGTTCGGGAAGAATGAATGATCGCACTTGCTGTTCACATCACGAGCAAACGATACGAAAGAGGAAAAAGGTGCTGGCTTTGGGAGAGCAGCACACCCTTCGTCGGATCATTAAGTAAGTGAGTCGTACCGTGTTACGTCCACTCGAACTCTCTCCACTTCCTCCCACCTGCGCAATCCACCAAACAAACAAATAGGTATCAGCAGCTGACTAGCTAGCCCCAAGCTGTAGGTACACTCTGACACAGTGGGTAAGTGGGTGGGGTTACTCCCCATCCGCGCTAAAGTCCGTGTCCCACTGCTACCGGGTTTTTTATACCCGATCTCTGCCCCCTGATTGGCTCACAACCAAGACGTTGGCGATCCACGTCCGTCGCGACATGTCCAGTCCGTCCGTCGCTTCTCCAATCGCGCGGCTCGCTTTCGCCACCTGCGGCTGCTGCCCAGAGAGAGAGAGAGGGGGGGAGGGGCTCGTGCGTAACCTTTCCATGTCATCCGAGCGAGAGCCAGCTACGAGGCGAGAAGGACCTGACTCTCCAGCGCTCCCGAACGAATTGCGCCATTTGACGCGCATCCTCGCCACTTGTTCCAGCTGCTTCTCACAACCGAATAGACCCGCTTTGCAATCAAGCGACGCCGAGTCGAGCGGATGGACCAGCGCAATGCCCCGTACGGCATGCTCACTGGCCGCGAGGGGCTCCCAGGGGGCATGCCTCCACAACAGCCGCAGCAACAGCAGCGTGTGTCTCAGCAGCAACAACAACAACAGCACTACAGTATGCAGGATATGATATTCGACCCGCTGCCTATGGGCAATGGCATGTACCACCAACCCGCTCCTGTGGGTGGCCACCTGATGCACCCGCACCAGCAGCCTGGGACCCGTGCAGGAGGAATGCAAGTCTTTGGGAGTTCGATGGCCCAACAGAGCATGGTGACGCCCGAGGATGACCTGGACGACCTCATGAGTGCCCTGGGCGATTCCGTCGGCATGAACGCCCAGCAGCAGAACGTGGGCGGCCACATGCCAAGTCACGTCTACGACCACATGCAGCCCCGTTCGCTCGTGCTGCACCCTGGGAGTTCCCAAGGCTTGCCCATGTCTACGCAGATGCAGTCGATGCAGCAAGGCATGGGGAGCCAATCCATGCACATGAATCAAATGCCTTCGAACGACATTGGAGCTGCTGCGCGGATGGGGGTGGGGATGCACCAGCAACCGAACGTCAGTGCGCCGTCGTTGGGAGGTATTGCTGGCCTGGGTGCTAATATCCAGGCCCCTATTGCTTCTCGACAACAGGCTCCTACTGCAATTGTACCGGCGTTGGCGACGCCCAAGTTTTCAGACAGCTCACGAACTTTGACGACGTCAAGTAACAATGGAGGAAGCAGTGATGAGGATGCTGGAATGGGCGAAGGAGATGTCCAGAAGAAGAAGGAGCGACGACGTCAGCAGGTTCGGTATGCGTCACGTCGCCGTCGCAAGAAACAGAAAGACGAGGAGAGTTTTTTGCGGGATCGGATCGCAGAGCTCAAGGAACAGATTCGGATCATTGGCGGAGACCTGACCGAGCAGTGCTCTCAAATGGCCGGTATGAGTGAACAAGCGTTGACGGAAGCGTACGAGAAGCAGATGGTGACGGTGCAGACGCTGCGCAAGGACAACAACAAGCTGAAAGAGCAGCTTTTACAACACGAGAACTTTGCTCGCATGATCCAGTACGGTCTGAACGCGTTGCCAAGCGACTGCCGCGATGTGGACCGCAAGAAGATCGCTGGTGTCCCGATGTGGATCAGTGACCAGATGAACCCTTTGAAGGGGCCGACGTTGGTGGTGGATCTGAACTTGTGTCACGAAGCTGTACGTCACGCATACAACGAGCTCAAGACGTTTGGTCCGACTGTGAACTCGAAGACAAACGTATGCTACGCGATGGGCTGGAAGACCGAGTTATGGGCTGCAAGCACATGCTTGAACTTCCGAGCTGTCCGCTCGATCAGCGACAAGAACATTCGCGAAGTTGCGAATGCATCATGGGACATCATCACGTGCCCGGAGAAATTCAAGCGCATTTACCCGGACGTCAAGCAGTTTCGCATCTTGCAAAAGGTGACGGACGACATAGTGGTCGTCCATCGCATCGCCTCCGTCGCGTCCGATCTGTCGGATCGAGAATTCATCTCCGTGGCTTTTCGCTTTCGGGACGGAGACAATTACTTTATCGGGATCAAGTCCATAACGGTCCAGACCGAGGCTGCTGAGAACTGTATCCGCGGTGAGGAATGTCAAGGATGGATGTTCGTGGGCGATGAGAACGAGACGCCGCAGTGGAAGGCTCATTTCCTCGGCTACTATGATGTCAAGGGCGAGAAGGACGACAAGGTGCTGAACCAGTTGGCGAACGAGTCAATGTTTGGTATGTTGCGATGGGAAAGTGAGGCCATGCATCCATTGAGCGCGTAAGGCGGTGGTTGTATCGGCCATTTGACTTCGATGGCCCTCCCTCTGCTTGATAGACGGAGCAAGGAGCGCTATTGTTTGACGACCAGCTCTGATGTACCGCTCTTGTGCACACAGCGCTGGCAAAAAAGAGTCACTAGCCTTTGCCTGCTTTGTTGTGCTACATGTATGAGAAAAAGACGAGAAATACTATTCGCATAATAGTCAGTGTGAAGAGAAGATTTGACTTGACGTGCACTTGGTAAAACGCGAAATGAGTCCATCTAAGAGGCGATCACTGGAGCGACTTTGAGCACAGACGGATATCTGATGACGCCGGTGAGTAACAGGGTCACGGATCAATCAATGCCAGTCGTTCATGCGGTCGAATTGCGACCGCTAGGCGCGAAATAATCTGCAGCTTTTTCGCTGCACTGACGCAACAAAAGGTCACAACAGCGTAATCAATTCGTCTACCATTCGGGTAGTCGGACGACGTCATCACCCACCACCACTACACCAGTGAATGCTTCCGGTCCAATGAATTGGTCGGCGCGGTATCTTCGATTCTCGCTACATGCGGTCACCTGTAGCGTAGTCAAAATGACAACCACTGGCCATGCTATTCACGACGTCATCTAAAGCTATCGTCCAGTCAAAGCGCAGCGAGGAAGGGTGCAATACTGCTACTACTTCCTGCGTTTTCAGCAAGACAAGTGCTTTCTGCGTGGACATGTCCATGGTTCAAGAGTGCAGCGCACGTTGTAAAGACTCGAATTTCGAGCAGCATATTAGTACCGTTCGTGGCCGTGCCACTTCCCGTCATGTGCCTTTCCAACCACCCGAGTCAAAAGCGACGTCGAAATTCCCCCGCGATTTGTCAACTAGAGGTAGGGATGGATAGGATGCGCTGCACCCGCGTGCGTGCGTGAATCCTACTGGCCAGCTCTTGCCTACTCGTTTTCAGTCAAGCTGGCAGCAGGTCCCGTCTGCTGTTCTAAACTGCTCGTACGATGACACTATGCGTGCGAAAAAGAAGGGGCTCGTGAGCTCTTCGCCCCGCTCATTGGTCGACAAAAGGTGCTGTGGAGCTGTCAAGCGCTGGGAGAGGGAAGGCCTGACACATCGGAATCTGCCAACTACGAGCGAAGACCAGACGGACGTCAGTTGACAAGAATGGATCAGCGCAATAATCCGTACGGTCTCCCTCTCGGTCGTGTCGGTCTGCCCAACGGCATGTCTCTCCAGCAGCAACGTGCGGCCACGCAGCAGCAGCAGTATACGATGCAGGACATGATGTTTGACCCGCTGCCCATGACTACCGGACTGTACCATCCCCCGCCTCCACTGCACCAGCAGCACACGGGCATGGGGGGGATCATGCAGCAACAGCAGCAGCAGCAGCCAAGTATGGTGGCACCTGAAGACGATCCGCGTTTCGTCGATGATCTGTTGGGTGCCTTTGGGAACGACCCCGTTGGTCAACAGCTGCACCAGCATCAGCATATGGACCAGATGCCCAGTCACGTGTACAACCAACAGCAGCACCTGATGGCCCCACCACCGTCTCAGACGTCCAACCTCCTTTCGGGACGGATACCAGGGATCCCGATGACGAGTCAACCGCTGCCCATGCAGCAGAGTGGACTCCCTGGCTCGATGCACATGAACCAAATGGGAGTTGGCGCAGACGGTTGTATTGGACCGGGTGTTCCTCATCAATTGCCTAATATGAGCGCAGCTCCTGCGATCTCTCCTGGTCTCGGAGGTCATGGTATCAGTATCCAAGCACCTCCTCTTGTAGCTCCTCGACAACAGGCTCCTACTGCAATTGTGCCAACGTTGGCGACGCCCAAGTTTTCAGATAGTTCACGAACTTTGACGACGTCAAGTAACAATGGAGGAAGCAGTGATGAGGATGCTGGAATGGGCGAAGGAGATGTCCAGAAGAAGAAGGAGCGACGACGTCAGCAGGTTCGGTATGCGTCACGTCGCCGTCGCAAGAAACAGAAAGACGAGGAGAGTTTTCTGCGGGATCGGATCGCAGAGCTCAAGGAACAGATCCGGATCATTGGCGGAGACCTGACCGAGCAGTGTTCTCAAATGGCCGGTATGAGTGAACAAGCGTTGACGGAAGCGTACGAGAAGCAGATGGTGACGGTGCAGACGCTGCGCAAGGACAACAACAAGCTGAAGGAGCAGTTGTTGCAGCACGAGAACTTTGCTCGCATGATCCAGTACGGTCTGAACGCGTTGCCAAGCGACTGCCGCGATGTGGACCGCAAGAAGATCGCTGGTGTTCCGATGTGGATCAGTGACCAGATGAACCCTTTGAAGGGGCCGACGTTGGTGGTGGATCTGAACTTGTGTCACGAAGCTGTGCGTCACGCGTACAACGAGCTCAAGACGTTCGGTCCGACCGTGAACTCGAAGACAAACGTGTGCTACGCGATGGGCTGGAAGACCGAGTTATGGGCTGCAAGCACATGCTTGAACTTCCGAGCTGTCCGCTCGATCAGCGACAAGAACATTCGCGAAGTTGCGAATGCATCATGGGACATTATTACGTGTCCGGAGAAATGCAAGCGCATTTACCCAGACGTCAAGCAGTTTCGCATCTTGCAAAAGGTGACGGACGACATTGTGGTCGTCCATCGCATCGCCTCCGTCGCGTCTGATCTGTCGGATCGAGAGTTCATCTCCGTGGCGTTTCGCCTACGTGATGGCGATGACTATTACATTGGTCTGAAATCCATCACTGTCCAGGCCGAGGCTGCTGAGAATTGCACTCGCGGTGAGGAATGTCAAGGATGGATGTTTATTGGCGGGGACAACGAGACATCGCCCTGGAAAGCTCATTTTCTTGGCTACTATGATGTCAAGGGCGAGAAGGACGACAAGGTGCTGAACCAGCTGGCGAACGAGTCGATGTTTGGTATGCTGCGATGGGAAAGTGAATCCATGCACCCGTTGAGCGTCTAGATGGTCGTCAACCTGCTTCGCGCAGGACATAGCTTGCAATTTAGTTGCTAACGCAGCTCAAGGTCTTGGATGTCAGCCGCTCTTAGCGTCGGACCCGACTTCTTTGCTTGTTTCTGCGTATCTCGGCACTATTGACCCCACAACGACGATGGTCCTGGGCTTGTATTACATTCGTGTGTGTCCCTATTCAAATGTGGTCAAGCAGCTGAATAAGGTGGAGAAATAGAAGGGAGTAATGACGATCAACGTTCCGCCGTCGCGCTCACTTCTGATTCCTCGATCCAAGTCTGTGAGCGTTTCTGATTCCTGGACTCAAGACGTCCCTTTCTCGTAACAACCATCTGCGTCTCCGCAACAAAAGAGACAACCCGTTCTCGAATCAATTGTTCGATGGATGGATTAAACCCGACGAAAAGTCGATGGCTACACTCCGATTCCCCATCGCCTCTCTCATTGGCGGACGTTCCACCTTTGTAGCCAATCCGCCACCCGTCGCAGCTAAACTTTCCACTGCGCTCATGTCAATCAGGTCCGGCACCTCGAGCAGCTGCTCTGGAGCCACGAAGATGACGCCGTGCGCGTTCTTCGCGGCTGGCAAGTGCCGCGCCGGCAGCACCTGTAAGTTCTTTCACGCGTCACGCGAGGATCTGGCCGTGAGTCCGCTGGTTTGCAAGTTCTTCCTGCAAAACACATGCAAAGCTGGACGCGAGTGCAAGTTCTCGCACTCGGCGACGGCGCAGGTGGCAGCTACGGTCGTGAGCGCTAGTACAGGCGACAAGGTAATAGCTGCGGGTTCGTATGGCGTCCCGTGCAAGTTCTTTAAGTACGGCGACTGTTCCAATGGCGACAGATGTCCGTATCTACACGTGCAGAAGAAGGAGACGAAGGCGAAGCAACTGGAAGAAAAGGCAGACGTACGAGCAAAAGAGAGTACCGGATCTGATGAATTGATTGGAGAAGAGAAGGAGGAAGTAGGTGCTGTGGCGGAGACATTGTGTGAGCAAGAACAGGAGGCAGAGACGATGGAAGATATGACGGACTTTATTTCGAAGGAGGAAGGTTTGTTGGATGGTTCATTGCACGGCGACGTGTGTTGTGGTCTCATCTGGTGGGTTCGTCTGATGTTCATTTTGATGCTGTGTGTGGGGTGAGGCGCTGCAGAACTGTATTATTACGGAGCACCTGGAGAGTTCGTGGATTCGACGGTTGAGTCTGTGCCGCCGATGCTGAAAGAGTTGTATGTGGACGTGATCAAGAAAAACGTGGACGACAGACCGCTTTCATTCGACGAGGAGATGCCTGCACCCCCGTACGTATGCTTACTGGAATACGTGAGGCTCCGCCATTAGGTTGTTCAGTGTCTGATCGACTCGTTATTGCTGATTACAGCAAGATCTGTACATTCTTTTTACAAGGATCATGCCGGTATGGCAACACGTGCTTTTACGCGCATTCTCTGTCGGAGTGTGCTCAAAGCGAGGAGGAGATGCTAGCGAGGGATGAAGAAATGTGTTTTTCGCAAGACTTGGAGTGTGGCATTTGCTACGAGTGTGTGGTTGACAAGGACGAGCGGTTCGGCTTGCTATCTGGATGTAACCACGTGTTTTGTCTCACGTGCCTGCGAAATTGGAGGGGTAATGCCGATCAGCCGAAGCAGACAGTCCGCCAGTGCCCAGTGTGTCGTGTGGAGACGAGTTTTATTATCCCGTCCAGTCGGATGGTTATGAAGCCGGAGCGTAAGAAAGTTCTCATCGACGAGTACCGAGTACGTGGATTTGCTTGAAATGCTCTGGTAGGCTACAGACTCTGATGACTTTTCTTCGTTTGACGTCAACAGAAAAATCTATCAGCCATCCCGTGTCGTCACTTCAGCGAAGGAAGGTATGTTAAGCGCCATTGCATTCCCTGATTATGTTTGTGTCACCTGTGGTAACCGTTGCATCTTGTGTTGAGCAATGTAGAGGAACATGTCCATTCGGTACTAGCTGTTTTTATGCACATCGCTTCCCGGACGGCACTTTAGACACACGTCAAGTGCGAACTGCAGTCGATGCAGATGGCCAGTATGACGTTCTTCGTCAAGTCCGACTCGAGCATTATTTCCAACAAAGTGGGAGCATTGAGTAATGGCTTCCGTGTTAGGCTTTAGTACATGTCAGCGCGGACGTCTTGTGAAATAAGTGGCTGAAGGCTTTATTTTGTCGTCCGTAGTGCTGCAAATTCAGAGTTCGATTCGAGTCTGTCAATCTCATTTAGTGCGATGCTACCAAGTCAGGCGTGGTGATAACTCACTCGCTCACTCCTCATGCAACAAAGATTGCAAATGGCGTAAGTCCTATACCATGGTTGTTACCGTTGGCGAGTAAAGAGATAGAACCCGCAGAAGCAGAAGCACAAGCTGCTATCACTGAGCAGACTTCGGGGCAACCCGCGTCGTCACTGAGCCATTTGTCTGTCCAAAAAACGCCTTTTCGGCCATGCCACAGAAAAGACCGACCTCCACCACTCCAGGAACAAGCTTGAGACTGTCGCAGAGCGTCTTTGGGTCGTCGATCTCCCCAAAATTAATATCGAGCACGAAGTTGCCATTGTCGGTGACCACCGGACCAGCCTTGCATTTGCCCATCCGCAGCACTGGCTTGCCACCAAACTTCTCCTCGAGATAACGCATGAGTGGCACGTATGCCATGGGAACGACTTCCACGGGCACGCCCTGGGTCCAGTGCTCGCCGAGCTTCTTGGATTCTTTGCGGTAGTCAGCAACAATCACGAACTTTTTGGCTGCAAAAGCCACAACCTTCTCTTGGAGCTGACAGCCACCGCCGCCCTTGATACAGTTCAGCTGTAGATCCACTTCATCAGCGCCGTCGATAGTCACGTCGATCACGGGGCTCTCGTCTAAACTCGTGAGCGTGAGTTTGTGCTGGGCAATGAGCTGCAAAAGAGAGAGAGAGAGAGAGATACAATCAGTCAACACAACACCAAAGAGAAGAGAGAGGGGGGTACGCAGGGGTACATTCCGTAGGTACGCACCTGTTTTGCCTGGAAAGACGTGGGGATACACTTGATGCCTGACAGCTTCGTCTCTTCCACGAGCTCACCGAGGCGCTCGACGGCGTAGACAACCGTCGAGCCGCTGCCAATGCCCACAACGAACCCGCTCTGGACGTACTCGTCCACAGCTCGACGCGCAGCCTGCAGCAGTAGACGATCGATAGATAGACGGCACGTTAGCGTAACAGTCGTAAAGCCTTGACAGTTATTGTATGGACAGGCTCGTCTGACCGTGCGCTTCGACTGGTCGATCAGGCTCAGCACCATCGCGACCGGACGAGAGTTACCGAGGGGTTGAGGACGGACAGTAAGTACAGTCGTCCGTACCGCACTTACTGTCGACACAATACCGCGACTGCTGAACGAACGGTACCGGTTATGTACCGGTTTTGTACCGCATCCCAAACGTCACTAACCGCGACGCGACCATCGGTCTGATGCTGCCAAGGCTGCGCTCCCGCGCTTCGCTTCGCGTCACGACTGCGTTCCATTCCGCTCGAGCTGAGCATGATCAAGTGCTGCAACGACTGGAGACAGTAGTGAAGACGGATCCGGAGGCGTTGCGGCGGCTAAGCGCTTTGCTCTCGCCGTCCACGACGCGGGACTTGACCAGAGCGCTGCATGCAGTACAACAGTCGACTACGAAAGCGGCAGCTGCTGCTGAGCCTGCAGCTAGCGAGTCTCGTGTACGCCAGTTAACGACGCAGGAGCTCCAGATGGTGGCGTTGCAAGTGGGACTGCCGTTCATTGGCTTTGGCTTTGTCGATAACTTCATCATGATCCTCGCTGGTGACTACATTGACCTTACGCTGGGCGTGTCGCTCAGCATCTCGTCCATGGCAGCGGCAGGCATTGGCAACACCATCTCGGACATTGCTGGCTTGGGTCTTGGCAACGTCGTTGAAGACCTTTGTGCACGTCTAGGGCTTCCAGTTCCAGTGCTGACGACGGAACAGGTCGAGTGGCGCTTTTGTTGCTGTAGGTATAGGCGTTGCCTTGTTCCATCTCGTCTATCTCACGCTTGTCTGGCTGTGGTTTTGGTTTGCGTCTGGTGGCTGTAGATGATGCTAAAGCGAACGCGGATGGCCAAGGTCGTGGGTAGCTCTGTGGGCGTGACAATTGGCTGTCTTCTAGGCATGGTACCGCTTCTGTTCCTTCATACGAGAGATAAAGATGACAGTCGCGATCCAGTGAAGGTAGCGCCATAAGAACGGGAAGGGATGGAAGTGACCACGCACTTGTGCCGTTTGGGGTCGGCGGAGTAACTCGAATGAATGACACGTCATTCGGAAAATGCCTTCGCCGGTCGACGTGGCGCAGGTCGCGCTGCAGTGGTTCGAGAGCTCCTCACAGTGTCCGAGGAAAATCCCTCCCGCCGAGTGGACGGTGCTAGCTGCCATTGTATTGCACACACGTGCTCCCCCCTCGCAGGTTTCGGCAAACACAGCGTCTGGTGACAGTTTACGAGTGTTAACGGCGGCTACAGGTAATAAATGTCTTGGAAGCCGGGACCTGAACGCCGACGGCTTCGTGGTCAATGACTGCCATGCCGAAGTGCTAGCAAGACGCGCGTTCCTCCGCTATTTGTACATGGAAGCGCTTGCGTGGCAGGAAAATGGGCTGGAAGCTAACGAACAGTCGATCTTTGAGCGCAGCCCGACGTCGGGTCGACTGGTGCTCCGACCACGGCATACGCTGCACCTTTTTATTAGTGAAGCACCTTGTGGAGACGCAGCTATTTACGAATTGCGTGAGGACGTTGTCGATCAGCTGGTGCAACAACGAGCAGCAAGGAGCGGCTGCACGATTGGCGCAGTTCAAAACCAGTCCGAGTTACGCAGTGACTTGCGACTCACAGGAGCCAAGAGACTCCGGTGCGGCGAGAGCCACGACAGTCCAGTACCCGACAAACGGTTTGCTCAGGCAGTCAGCGTTGCACGGGTGAAGTCGGGTCGATCAGATTTACCTCCAGACAAGCAGACGCTGTCTATGAGCTGCTCTGACAAATTAGCCAAGTGGAACGCGCTAGGCCTGCAAGGTTCTCTTTTGCTGCAGTGGTTCGAGCCGATCTTCTTGAGTTCTATCGTCGTGAGCAAAGATAACAGAGCGAAGTCAGTGGCAGTACAAGACCAGGCGCTGAAACGAGCTGTGTGCTTACGACTGGAACAACGCGGTGCGACGATGGAGGGAGTACGTCTGTCTGTTTGTGAAGCGCGTGTTATCTCGGTCGCTCCCCAGTTCAGTCGTTGTCGAACACCGAATCGCGCACCATCAAGCGTAGCGCTGAATTGGACCGTCGAGGAATCCTGTTGGGCACGAGGCGATAAGCACAAGCTGGCACTCAAATCAATGGGTAAATTGGATGGTGCAGCGAAGGTCTTCAACAGCTTCGGGCTCGAGGTTCTTATGGCTGCCACTGGGTTCAAGCAGGGGGCTCAGAAGGCATCAAAGATGGATCAAGTTGCAATGGAGAAGGTGGCTTCACGTCTGTCAAAGAGGAACTTGCTTCGTGCATTCCATCTCGTCCTAAGCAAGAGTTCACCTTTGGACGCCGTTCGTGATCTCGGGTATCTCCAGCTGAAGCACGCGGTTCCTTTTGACGCTGCTGCACCCTCTGCATGTTCGGCACCGACAGCTTCTGTCCCCTCCAACGACCGGAGGCAGCGATTTTTTGCAGCGTTTAGTGATTGGGTCGGGGTCCCTGCTCGGTTCAAGCAGTTCAAACTATGAACACCAATCTAAGAGCGCACTTTTCTATGATCACGGCTTGGCGTGGCAGCGATGGAGCGTCCGTTCATATTTTTCGAGCACTTCTTGCGATCTTTATCAATACGCTCTTCGTATATAATGGATCCTAGGGTTCCCGTAGAGCTCAAAATGTCGAATGCCATGGCAAACGTCTCCACACAGTCATCGATGCGAAAAACACCACCGAAGTCCATATACCCTCTATCCCCTAAAGCGAGCGGCAATTGCGTATTTTCGCGTAGAAACCCCGGCAGCTTCTTGTTGCCGTACAGCTCAAAGAACGCCAGCAACAGAGACGACACCGGCGGTTGCGGTTCGTTGTCGTGCTTTGGCTTGCATTGCTGAAAGATGAATGCTACCATCATGTACAGCCGGAAGCTGCCGATTCCGCCTGTAAATGGTTTATCGAGCTCAAACTGGTGCAAAAACTCCTTCAAGAACATGACCATGATTGTAAAGCGTGCACCCAGCGTGGCCTGCAGCCTCCTTGCAAGAGATGTCGAGCGCCCATGCTCGCTGGCCTCAAACATTTCATTATTGACGCCAATGTCGATCGCCAACTTGGTTTTCGTGTCCAAGACCATGAGGATGGGGATCTTGGCCTTGTGCAGGCACTTCACTCGAAAGTGAGGTCTCCGTGCATTCAACATCAACTGCAGAGCCCGGAGGACACGGATCTTGCGCCTTCGAAGCGTTGGATTCCAGTGTGAAGCCGCCGTGGGCTGAACACGACGAGTGATATCTGCACTATCGACTGAGGTAGAGCCAATGGGCAGCGCCAAATTCAGCGAGAACGAAGACTGCTCCTGTTCGACCAGCACAGGATCAGACACGTCAGTCTCGTTATTGCTCGCGTTTTGTTGGTCTTCCAGCTCTTCCCCAAGTTCATCGACCACAGTTATTGATGGCAGCGGCTGCGACGAAGACAGCGAGATATTGCCCACTGTTATATCCAGATCACTCCGGAATGTGTCAAGTCCCGTACTTGATGAGCCGTAGAGCTGCACGGTTGCGTCCTGAAAAGTCGACGAAATGAGGTCGCGCACATCTTCAAACACCGTGGCGCGCAGCTGCTTCTCGTCCGGAGACAGCGCCACTCGTTCAGCAAACAACTTGAGCTTTATATCCATCAACATCTCCTTACGAGTGGTGCCCGGTGTACCCGAGTCACGCGGGCTTTGCCATTCGTTGCGAGAGCTTTTGACCTTCTTCGAGCTTGAGGACGTCGCTCGGCTCCCACTTTTCTGCTGCTGTTTTCTGTTGTTATGCTTTCTTTTTGCCTTCTCCCAGTTAGTCGTAGAGCTCCCAGTGGGAGAGGGGGATGCAAGAAGTACTTTAAAGGGCTTCGACTGCTTGTTGTGACGCATAGCCAATGGATCAGTTCCTGGAAGAGGGAGCCCCTGGAAAAGAGGACCAGGGATCCGTTCACCTCCTTTTAGTTTTTATGTAATGATAATTGTACCCCATTTTTACTATTTCCACATCTTTGAAGCTAATAAAGGGTGTATTTTAGAACTTGTACGGAATTCATCTGTGGCAGCTGCTACGGCCACAGACAAACTTCTAAGGTCACAGATAATACACCCAGCCAATCATAGCTCAGAAAATTCAATTGTAACTACGCACTCTAGCCAACCAGATCACTTGTTTACTTGTTGTACACACGAGCTTCTGTTTCTCATGCGATTCGTGTTCAGTCTGTTCTAGAACAATTGAGGTTTATTTACTGAGTGCCAACTGCTATCTGTGTATGGTACAGAACTTGGTCTATAGATCTGTATGTTGGAACTGTAACGGGGCACCCTGAAGCTTGTACTGGTGACAGTACAAGCTACTTTGTAACGGGGTGAATCGTTACATAACAATTTATAAGAAATTGTTAATAGAATATAACTATAAGAGTTATATTCTCAGAATATTGTCATAAGGACAATATTCGGTAGCACTTCCAAGTAGTTCCTAATTGGTTGATATAGGCCATTATATCAACCAACGAAGACGCGCCACGACAGACGCACGCAATGAGTGGTGAGCAGATAACTGATTTACACATTTGTATTTAGACATAGTTAGATGAAGATAAATAGTGATTTATTGCAGACATTAACTATTATAAATACAGTTCTACTTTTTACTCTAACCGAGTACTCGCTTCTTCTTACCGTCTTCCTCTGCACGTACGAGTGTACGTGAAGTTACGAGGCACCGCCTTATTCTGTTATCAGAATAAGTAGCTTGTACTGTCACCAGTACAAGCTTCAGGGTGCCCCGTTACACCTGGTAGCACTTCGTAGTCCGTCCAAGGACCGCGTTCACATCCAACATGAATATGTTGGATGATGAAGATGACCAAAGCTTTCACGCTACGCGTGACGGCTACTCCCATTTGAGCGATGTCGAATGGGATGCGGTTGAACGAATGGGTTCGACCATGGGCATCCATGCTGTTAGCGTCATGCTAGAGGCTCTCAATAGAGATGCCCAACATGCTACTATCGCCAAGTTCATTCAAAATGAACTTGACGCAGAACGCGAGAAAGTAGCCTTGCTTCACCAACAAGGTTCTCAACAAGCAGAGTTGTTGAGAGAACAAGGTGCTCAACAGTTTGAACTGTTGAGACAGCAGCAGGCTGCTGCTGGCGGGTCGATGCACTCGCGTCGGCCCGAGACTTTGAAGATTGACATCTCAAAGTATAGAGGGGTCGAAGAAGACTCCCTCTTGAGATGGTTCGTCGAATTGGATGACGCCATAAGGGCGCGTCGCATCGACGACGGGGATATGCAAGTTGCATTTGCCCAGTCAAATCTGGCAGGACGTGCCAAGACTTGGGCACTGGGGCTCAAGCTGCACGACCCATATGCGTTTGGGTCGTTGGAAGTCTTCAAGTCGCGGCTCAGACAAACGTTTGAACCGCCTAGAGCTGAGTTCAGAGCTCGAACCGAACTCTTGAAGCTCAAGCAGGGTAAGCGTGATGTGCACGCTTACGCTCAACATATACGACATCTCACGAGTTGTATAAGTTCCAATCCGGTGGATGAACACACGTTGGTTTCGGTGTTCATGCAGGGTCTTGCGGATGGTCCCGTCAAGACTCACCTGTTCCGGCTTGAACTAGATTCACTAGAACAAGCCATTTCAATTGCGGAGCAGGAAGACTTCAGTCTGAGACAGGCTCGCGCCAGCTCGACATCATATCGTCAACCGAGACGATATGACAACGGAGGTCCAGAGCCGATGGAACTCTGTTATGTAGAGAGCGAGAAGGCTCGCTCTACAGGCTACAAGAAGTTGCAGAGATGCAACAGATGTCAAAAGACAGGACACTACGCTTACGAGTGTAGTGCCCCTCGTCCAGTGTCTCGCGACACTGGGCGTAGTGACCGTCCACCCATGAGAAAGGGGCAGGGACGAGGGTCCGCAGTTGGTGCAAAGGCGCAACAACGGGATGGACCGTCAAAAAACGGACAGGATCAGTAGGTGCGGAGCACCCTACTGATCCAGCAACGTCAAGAGAATTTGTGGGACTCTTGATGAAGGTTGCTCCCGACACACAAACGTTGTGCGTTGCTGCTCTAGGTAATGAGATCTCACTCATTACCTTGAAACTCGAAGTGACGAATAAGTTGTCCCTTCGAGCTCTAGTCGATTGTGGGGCGTCCAACAATTTTGTGCGACGCCAATCGCTAGAAGATGATCACTTTAAATTCAGTGAATGTGACACACCTCCTACGAGGATGACGGTACGTCTTGCGACAGGCGCATCCGTAACCGTCATGAAGCGTATAGTGAAGATCCACTATACGCTAGAAGATACCCAATACGACGATGACTTTATCGTATTGGATTTGGATGACAAATTTGATGTCATCCTTGGAATACCGTGGCTCAGAAGGTACGAACCACGGGTAAACTGGCAACATCGGACAGTAACGATGCCTGCCGCTTGTTCATCAGATGGCCATCTGATGAACGTTTTGGAGCGTCCACAAGCGTGTGGATGTACTACGAGTGAGTGCGATGGCCTCACTTGTGGTACGGTCGTTAGTACGACTGCACAAAACCTTAGTGTACCAAACGGTTACACTTCGGAGCAAAGTTCCGGCGGCTGTGAGGAAACACAGGCTGCGCCGAAGGTCCACCACTCGAATAAGTCGGGTGGACTGGGACAAAGATGTATCCCTAGAGGGGAACATCTAGAAGAGAAACAATCGATCGCTCAGGTTAAGCGAAACGATAATCCTAGATCGACTGGAGAGTCTTTCGTAGAGGATCTCGCTGTGGTTGCGCAACCCCAGCTAGAGGAAGTAAAGGGAATAAGTCCCAAGATTACAAATACGGCGGAAATAAGTTCCCCGAAACCCGCGGGAATAAGTCCCCGGGAAGACGAAGGAATAAGTCCTTCGAAGCCTGAGGGAATAAGTCCCCAGGAAATGACAGAGACATTGAATGTCATAGTCAATAACGGATCATGTGTAGGCGCTTATACACTTGATCTGATTGCGCCTCCGAAGTTAACTTCGGAGATCACTCAGTTGCCAACGCTCGAACATAAAAGGTTCTTGCGTGATCTGCGTAGTGGCAAAGTCAAGCAGATCTGCATACTCGTCGCTGACGACGAGTATGTAACCGACATAAGGTCAGCAACAGTGTTTACTGAGAACGAGAGAGTTCTCAGTAGTTCATCTATGGACGAGAGTGTCCTAGATGAAAAGACACGAATTGAGCGATATGAGTCCCAATCATGGGAATCGCTCAAGGAAAATCCTCTCTATGAAGATTTGGTTGAATTCAAGGATGTATTCCCTGAAACTGTTCCGTGCGAATTACCGAAGGATAAAGGTATTCGACACGAAGTCGAGCTTAAACCAGGCTCGAAGTACTGTGTCATGAAGCAGTGGCCACTGCCTCGTGAACAAGTACTTGCGATCGACAAGTTCTTTGCCGATCGTTTAGCAGCGGGCCATGTGAGGGAATCAACTTCCCCACATAGCTCTCCGACCTTCTGTGTGCGAAAAGCAACAGGAGGGTGGCGGATAGTGCACGCGTTTAACAAATTGAACGCTGCAACGGTACCGGCTCAGACGCCGATACCGAGGAAGGACGTAATCATTGATGGTATGTCAAAGAGTACCATCTTTTCGTCCATGGATTTGATGGATGGCTTCTATCAAATCCTAATGCGGGAACGGGATATACCCTATACCGCAGTTAGCACGCCTAGCGGCATGCTCTGGGAATGGCTAGTAATGCCACAAGGGCTCAGTAATGCCCCTGCCACGTTCAACAGATGTGTATCACATCTGTTGAGACCAGTACGAGAGTTCGCGCCGAGTTATTTCGATGACGTATTCATCCATAGTCGAGCTATGGATGGAAAGTCGGACGTTGAGGTTCACAGGTACCACGTCCGACAAGTTCTTACAATCATGCGAAAGCATCAATTGTATGCTAACCTCAAGAAGTGTATATTTGCGGCAAGCGAAATACCACTTCTTGGGTGCATCGTTGGTAAGAACGGTGTACGTCCTGATCCCGAAAAGATCAAGGCGATCACCGACTGGCCCGTGCCGGTCGATGTCAAAGGTCTTCGAAAATTCCTTGGGCTAGCGGCGTATTTGCATAAGTATTCACGCAATTACGCCGAGATGACTGTACACCTCTCTCGTTTGTTGAAAAAGAACGAGAGGTGGTTATGGAACGCTGAATGTCAACGCTCCTTTGAGGGTATCAAGCAGAGCTTGATACAATCCCCAGTCCTAGCAATAGCCGATCAGGACAGGCCATTTCATGTGGTCTGTGATGCCAGCGATTTCGCAATCGGCTGTGCATTAATGCAGTACGATCTTGAAGGCGTTGAACGCGTCGTCTGCTATCAGTCGCGTCAGCTGCAACCAGCTGAGCGGAACTATCCAGTGCATGACAAGGAACTCCTTGCCATGAAGTATGCACTCGCGAAGTTCAGAGTCTATCTATTAGGAGATAGACCCTTCGTTGTTTACACTGACCATGCGTCCTTACGCACGGCAGTGAACAGCCCGCACCTTTCACAACGAATGGCGCGGTGGTTGTCATTCTTTGCAGAATACAACTTTACGGTCGAGTACAAACCAGGACGACTTAATGTCGTCGCTGATGCACTCTCACGTCGTCCCGACTTTGAAACAGTCGCGAAACCCAACAGTGAGACAGTCACTGTTGCGGTTATGACGTCCTCAGTCCCATCTACAATGTTGTATGATGATGTGAGGCGGGCATACGCCCAAGATGGTGAGATAGTGAAGTTGTTGTCACATCTCTCCCAACCACCTCGAGAATCGTTGAAACGATTGTCGTCTGCGTATCGATCTGCATCAGATCGATACACTACTCGTAACGGTTTACTGTACTATACAGCCGTTTCTGGTGACACACCACGTGTTGTCATTCCAGATGATACTGATCTGCGTTTGCGGATCATGTTCGAGTATCACGATGCTCCTATAGGAGGACATCGTGGCCGAGAGAAAACATATCTCACGGTAAGTCGAGACTTTTACTGGCCCCGCCAGTATCAGTTTGTGCGAAAGTATGTTCGCGCATGCGAAGTCTGCCAACGAGTGAAGTCAAGTCCTTCACTGCGTGCACCTTTACAGCCTCTACCGGTTCCGGCTGAGTGCTGGGAATCCATCTCACTGGATTTCGTCTTCGGGTTACCCAAAGACGCACGCGGGAATACGGGTATTCTCGTATTTGTTGACAGATTCAGCAAAATGGTACACCTTGTGGCTGTACCAGAGACAATCACGGCAAGTGGCTGTGCTTGTGTCTTTATTGACACCATCTTCCGACTTCATGGGTTGCCCCGTGAACTCGTATCAGACAGGGATCCACGATTCACTGCTGATTTCTGGCGTTCCGTGTTCAAATCACTCGGAACGCGCTTGAAGATGTCAACATCTGATCATCCAGAGTCGGATGGTCAGACGGAACGTGCCAATCGTGTCCTTGAAGAGATACTTCGAGGATACGTACACTCCTTTAAGAGTTGGAGTGAGTTTTTTGCCAATGGTAGAGTTTGCCATCAACAACTCGGTGCATGCGTCCACGACACACACACCGTTTTACGTGAATGGCTTGCGCCATCCGCGTGTACCCACCTTACTAGAGTGTAACTCTGGTTTAAGGGGGAGGAACTCGCGCGAGCAAAACCGATTTGGTTCACGCTCATCACGCTCTGACGAAGAAGTCATTGCGTTTGATGCCGATATCGATAACATCGATATCGAAGAAGATGATGCCAGTGAGAGTGCGGAAGCCCTCACTGAAGACAATGATCCCAGTGAGAGTGCGGAAGCCCTCACTGAAGAAAAGGTTGTTGTTGCTGCAGTGCGCTCACAGCACACTGAAGCTAACGAGTCATCAGATGAGTTCATACTGGCTCGTGAAACGGTAGTCCGTTTTGTGCAAGACTCCATCGCCGAAGCGGTGGATAAGCAAAAGCAAAACGCTGACAAGAATGGAAGGGCAAACACTCTTTTATTTAATAAAGGTGACTTAGTCCTACTGTCTACGGTTAATCTACCAAAACATGTAGTGACTAACTTGGGTAGCAGTAAACTACTACCCAAGTACATTGGCCCATTTCGTGTATTGCACCGCCTAGGCAATGCATACACGATCGAGTTACCACGTAAGATGCGAACGCATCCCACGTTTTACGTTGGTCGGCTTAAGCCGTACCATCAGTACGCTGCTTCTTCCGATGAAGAACGCCCTTGCGCTCAAGCATCTCGCAGAGAGCCTTGTGCTCCCGATGGTGGGCATCAACAAGGGTCTGAAGAGCAACTATCTCATCCCGAGACCGATCAACAATCCCACGAGCTACCCTTAGCTCGTCACGAAGAGATGTCAGAGATCTCTCGTTCTCAAGCTGAGCAAAGGCAAACTCAGCTCGATGCTTCGAGGCAGTGTCCACCATCTGGAGACGCCTATTCCGCTCATGCTCGAGATCGTCGCGTAACCCTTGCGTTACGCGATCAAAGAAGCTCTCGGGAACACACCGATCCACATGATCGTGTGGAGAGCGTCTTTCCTCCTCCTCCACCTCCATTAGAGGACTCTCGCGGTGGCCAGCGCTATCTAGTAGAGCAGCTGTTGAACCACCGCGACGTGAACGGACGTCGGACGAGTTACCTCGTCCGGTGGCGCGGCTATCCCCCGTCCTGGGATTCTTGGGAGCCCCGCTCCCAATTGATGGTTGACGTACTGGGTCTGGTCGAGCAGTACGACGCGACACATCCTGTGCCGCAGAAGGACCGCCGGAGAAAGTCTTCCCGGCACGGTCGTAAAGGGATTTCAGGTTGTCAATCCCTTCGTACATCTCAGTAGAGACACGTACGCGCCACCACGGGCTGGTAAGGAGGTAAGCCTCCTTAGGTGCTCGTGCAGAGTTGTTCACACAACATGGGCACGAGTCTCCCCAAGAGAGGCAGGGTAATCCTTTCTCCCTTGACAGACGATGCAGCTTATAGCGTGCACCTGTCGGGGTTCGCTTTTCAAACTTATCACGAGCTTTGATAAGTTTGTCGTTCCAAGCGTCACGACCTACATCCTCGAGATTATGGATGTAGGCGTTCCACGCCTGAAGTAGTGAGGGACCATCACGTTTGTGATTCCCACTGTACCATCGATGTCTGAAGAAAGCATCGATGAAGAACTCATGTTCAGCGCGATAGTCTTTCGCGCTGGGGTCAAGGTGATGAATCCTCGACGAATCGAACAATCGTGTTCGATAACGATCACTCGTCGTCGCCGACAAGTGATCCATGACGGATTTTGGAGGCATCCATGCCTTCTTTTCTGGAGCGAGACGCAACACATTGCGGTCCCGCTCTTCCTGCGACGTGCCGACAGAAGTACTGGCACCTCGCTGTGAAGTGGTGTCCATTGGAGAACCGACACCACTATTAGCGCCCGAGTCTCGCGACCTCGAGCGCCTTCGCTTCGGCGATGGTTCATCTGATTCATCAGATGAACCAAAGATGCTGCGACGCAAAGCATCGTCCATGCCACGCTTGGCAGGCGGCTTAGATTCAATCGCCGTCGATACGGATCCGTCATCCGTATCAGGAGAGTACGAGACACCGAGCTCGTACTCTGTGAAGACACGAGTGTCTTCATGACCAGCGCCTGCGTCACCAAGTGACACAGGCTGGGTCTCTTCAGCAACCGATGAGACATCAGTTGCTGTTGTTTCTGCTTCGGCGTCCGCACAGAGACGTGCAGACGCGCTCTCGGCGGCCTTGCTCGCGCATCGCATGGGCTTGTTTACCATGCGATGAGATGTTGGAAAGTGGACGCGGACCAACAAGTGCAAACCCCGTCCCAAATGATTTGGGACGAGTATCCATTTAGTCAATCAGTCACTAAAGTGACTGATGGTTAAGGGGGGGGTGATGTAACGGGGTGAATCGTTACATAACAATTTATAAGAAATTGTTAATAGAATATAACTATAAGAGTTATATTCTCAGAATATTGTCATAAGGACAATATTCGGTAGCACTTCCAAGTAGTTCCTAATTGGTTGATATAGGCCATTATATCAACCAACGAAGACCGCCACGACAGACGCACGCAATGAGTGGTGAGCAGATAACTGATTTACACATTTGTATTTAGACATAGTTAGATGAAGATAAATAGTGATTTATTGCAGACATTAACTATTATAAATACAGTTCTACTTTTACTCTAACCGAGTACTCGCTTCTTCTTACCGTCTTCCTCTGCACGTACGAGTGTACGTGAAGTTACGAGGCACCGCCTTATTCTGTTATCAGAATAAGTAGCTTGTACTGTCACCAGTACAAGCTTCAGGGTGCCCCGTTACATACTTATTCTGATGACAGAATAAGGCGGTGCCTCGTAACTTCACGTGCACTCGTACGTGCAGAGGAAGACGGTAAGGAGAAGCGAGTACCTGGTTAAAGTAAAAAGTAGAACTGTATTTATAATAGTTAATGTCTGCAATAAATCACTATTTATCTTCATCTAACTATGTCTAAATACAAATGTGTATATCAACTATCTGCTCACCACTCATTGCGTGCGTCTGTCGTGGCGCGTCTTCGTTGGTTGATATAATGGCCTATATCAACCAATTAGAAAGTACTCGTAAGTGCTACAGAATATTTGTCCTTATGACAATATTCTGAGAATATAACTCTTATAGTTATATGCTATTAACAATTTCTTATAAATTGTTGTGTAACGATTCACCCCGTTACATCACCCCCTTAACCATCAGTCACTTTAGTGACTGATTGATTAAATGGATACTCGTCCCAAATCATTTGGGACAGGGTTTGCACTTGTTGGTCCGCGTCCACTTTCCAACATCTCATCGCATGGTTAACAAGCCCATGCGATGCGCGAGCAAGGCCGCCGAGAGCGCGTCCGCACGTATCTGTGCGGACGCCGAAGCAGAAACCACAGCAACAGATGTCTCATCGGTTGCTGAAGCGACCCAGCCTGTGTCACTTGGTGATGCAGGCGCTGGTCATGAAGACACTCATGTCTTCACAGAGTACGAGCTCGGTGTCTCGTACTCTCCTGATACGGAAGACGGATCCGTATCGACGGCGATTGAATCCAAGCCGCCTGCCAAACGTGGCATGGACGATGCTTTGCGTCGTAGCATCTTTGGTTCATCTGATGAATCAGATGAACCATCGCCGAAGCGTAGGCGCTCGAGGTCGCGAGACTCGGGCGCTAATAGTGGTGTCGGTTCTCCTGTGGACACCACTTCACAGCGAGGTGCCAGTACTTCTGTCGGCACGTCGCAGGAAGAGCGGGATCGCAATGTCTTGCGTCTCTCTCCTGAGAAGAAGGCATGCATGCCTCCTAAATCCGTCATGGATCACTTGTCGGCGACGACGAGTGATCGTTATCGAACACGATTGTTCGATTCGTCAAGGATCCATCACCTTGACCCCAGCGCGAAAAACTATCGCGCTGAGAATGAATTCTTCATCGATGCTTTCTTTAAATATCGATGGTACAGTGGGAATCACAAGCGTGATGGTCCCTCACTGCTTCAGGCGTGGAACGCCTACATCCATAACCTTGAGGATGTAGGTCGTGACGCTTGGAACGACAAACTTATCAAAGCTCGTGATAAGTTTGAAAAGCGAACCCCGACAGGTACACGCTACAAGCTGCATCGTCTATCAAGGGAGAAGGGATTACACTGCCTCTCATGGGGAGACTCGTGCCCATGTTGTGTGAACAACTCTGCACGAGCACCTAAGGAGGCTTACCTCCTTACCAGCCCGTGGTGGCGCGTACGTATCTCTACTGAGATGTACGAAGGGATTGACAACCTGAAATCCCTTTACGACCGTGCCGGGAAGACTTTCTCCGGCGGTCCTTCTGCGGCACAGGATGTGCCGCGTCGTATGCTCAACCAGACCCAGTACGTCGATCATCACTTGTGAACGGGGCTCCTAAGCATTCCAGGACGGGGGATAACCGCGCCACCGGACGAGGTAACTTGTCCGACGTCTGTTCACATCGCGGTGGTTCAACAGCTGCTCAACTAGATAGCGCTGGCCACCGCGAGAGTCCTCTAATGGAGGTGGAGGAGGAGGAAATACGCTCTCCAAACTATCGTGGGGGAGCGTGTGTCTCCGAGAGCCAATTTGATCGCGTAAGTCTTGCGTTGCGCAGCGACCTCGTGCATGAGCAGGACAGGCGTCTTCAACTGGCGGACAATGTCTTGAAGCATCTAGCTGAGTTTGCCTTTGCTCAGCTTGAGAACGAGAGAGCTATGACATCTCTGCGTGACGAGCTAAGGGTAGCTCGTGGGATTGTTGATCGGTCTCGGGCTGAGATAGCTGCTCTTCAGACCCTTGTTGATATCCACCATCGGGAGCACAAGGCTCTCTGCGAGATGCTTGAGCGCAAGGGCGTTCTTCATCGGAAGAAACAGCGTACTGATGGTACGGCTTAAGCCGACCAACGTAAAACGTAGGATGCGTTCGCATCTTACGTGGTAACTCGATCGTGTATGCATTGCCTAGGCGGTGCAATACACGAAATGGGCCGATGTACTTGGGTAGTAGTTTACTGCTACCCAAGTTAGTCACTACATGCTTTGGTAGATTAACCGTAGACAGTAGGACTAAGTCACCTTTATTAAATAAAAGAGTGTTTGCCCTTCCATTCTTGCCAGCGTTTTGCTTTTGCTCATCCACCGCTTCGGCTATGGAGTCTTGCACAAAACGGACTACCGTTTCACGAGCCAGTATGAACTCATCTGATGACTCGTTAGCTTCAGTGCGCTGTGAGTGCACTGCAGCAACATCAAACTTTTCTTCAGTGAGGACTTCCTCGTTCTCACTGGCATCATCTTCTTCGATATCGATGTTATCGATATCGGCATCAAACGCAATGACCTCTTCGTCAGAGCTTGATGAGCGTGAACCAAATCGGTTTTTGCTCGCGCGAGTCCCTCCCCCCCTTAAACCAGAGTTACACTCTAGTAAGGTGGGTACA